GTAATATTGGTAGTTCTACGTAAATAAAATCAAAAGCATCCTATTTTTCGATATTTCCATTGTTAAGTTATGTTAAAGTTCACGTTCAAGCTCGTCTGAATTGTTCGGTGTCACAAGCGTTCGTCTGCTATTACCTTTTGTGACGCCAATATGCTCTGTAAAAAATCGCACAGTTAGACGATGGATTTGGAAATATGTGATATTCGTGCCCAATTGTGCTATTAAAACACTGCTAACACGCGCTTTAATAATGGCAGACTTGAAAAGTTATGTCCAACAAACAACGCATCTTCCCACATCTTCACCCTTTCTTTGAGGAATTATCAATTCTCATGTAGATATGATGTGCTGAAAACATACCAGACCAAAGTGGATCAGCTGCATGAAGAGAAAGGCACCAAACCCAAAATGCTTGTGGTTAGTATAAAAGTTTCATGACAAAAAGTCTTTAGGTATGCGAGTCTTCAAATCAAAAATTCACTAGCTCCGATCCTTAACTCACCCAGTCAATAAACCAATTAATCAACCAACAGTACCAATGAAATCAGACAATGTCAAACAGTTGTCATCAATTCCCAATATTATGAATCGGTTATATCAATTCATCAATCTGTTACATAACAGGTTAATCAATATATCTCAGTCTGCTCTAAATGTTTATTGAATTATTTATTTCCAGGGCAAAAGTCTTCGATTTTGTGGATATCAAATTGCTTTCACAGCAACTGGTTTGTTGAAAATGATTTTATCTTTGAGTGTAAAAAATGAAACAAAGGAACAATTGAAACAAATGTAATCAGTCAAATGACTATAATCCAGTCATTATGCATCAACTTTTAAAATTTTATAATGTTATCCGAATTTATAACTGAAAGTTGAGCAAATGTTTCTAACTCATAGCTGAAAATCAGTGATCGGCTTTTTAGGTATGGTGTTTCTCGTCATTGCCATTTTATTCCTTTTTCTTCCTATCTATGGACTCCAGACAATACACGACTATCTTGGTAGAAAAGTATTGCTGGATTGTCTTGAAAACATTGCTCAGTGGGTTGGGTAAGTATCACCGAGCAGCAGCAAATGATGTAAATGCGCGAAAAGTATGCAAGCAAGCAAGCAAGCAAGCAAGCAAGCAATCATTTCAACCATTCAAATACTTGAATCAATAATCCTTTCGGTCCAGTCAAGTAGGTGTAAGACCACTAATAGTAGCGTTTATTGAAAAAACTAAATGCTTGTTAGTCAGTTACGACGCATGCAAGGCTGCGCTAAAATTCTTGGAGAAATTGCCGTAATTTTAAGATATATTTTGAGATAAATGGGGCAAACTGATCATGCGCGAATCACTTTACAAAGCACTCTTTTCCGGCATCCCACATTGAATACACATAAAGTAAAATAGAACCGCTGTTGGCTGTTTACTGAAATCGGTTGACAACCTGCATTGGTCAATGATCAGGTTTCAAACCTGAGACCTTTGCTAGGGTCATGGAMCTTTATATCTGATAAAGGTCACCCTTATTAGTATTCTTTATATAAAGAATACTAATAAGGAGTGTTTTATCAGAAATAAAGGTCCATGCATGTGACCAAACAGGCTCATTCTATTAGCCTAATAACTCATTAATCATGCATTAGTTTGTTTAATTTTGCGATAAGACAAACTTGTATAGATCGCGATTTTCCATACTCCTGATAGATACCGATCGATTGACTTCAAAAAGATACGGTTTACATTCACTTTTCAGGCCTTTAGTCACCACACCTATCSTRATATGGCTCGCGTTATGGCTGATGTGTACGTTTGTATTTCGTGACAGAACCTACCCAGATCTGACAGTTACCATTGAGAACAGGTAACGCAACTATTCGTACCAAAGATCATTGAAAAGCGTAATGTTATACTTACTGGTTACGAACAGTTCATATCTTATGATTTTCGATGTAGATCGTGCATCTCTATCATACTTTTCTAGCTCTCAATTAAAAGCACTTTTTTCTTTCCGAACTCATATTATTTGTCTTACAGGCGTTTTTTTGACATTATGTCATATTTCTTCTTCTTCTTCAATATCTTGGTTGGGATTTGGTCTGGACTTTCTCGTATTTTGAAAGGTGCAGTTTTGGGCTTGGTATTCCTGTGTCGACTTGATCGCACACCAATGATGACTGGCTTCAGGAAATGGGACAGGGGTAAGAAACATCAGCATTGAATGATACACAAAGAGATAGAGCTCATTTTACGAGTAGAGGATTTCTAGGAGGTGCCGACCTAGTTCCTGGGGGAATATATCTTTTCTTATGTCCCAGCCAGCTGTAACTCTACAAGAAAATCTTTTCTAAGAATTTTTGCCTGGAAAATAAAACTGAATTTCATAACTAAAAAAATGTAAGCCGTTTTTAACTATGAAAACGACATATAAGCATTTTTTAACCTTACAAACGTTTGCCAGGAACAAAATAATTTTAAAGAAGGAAGGGCGCCACATTTGTTTGTGAGATTGTCAGCAATGTAGCTCAAAATGTAGCTCCTTTCCCAGGAAAAAAATTGTACAAGAACAATTATTTTGAGACAGACTTCTTCGGCTACTCCTGGAGTTCCAACAGCACTAGGTTGATTAACGCATTTTCTCTTGTTTCTAGGTTACATGTCTTACATCGGATTTCTTAATGTCCTTGTTGCATTTARACATCCCGTCATGCTTTGCTTCTGCCAGATGTTGATTGACGAGCAACAGCAAAAGAATTATGGTAATCGATTTAAAAAAATTGAAGATGAAAATTGAATAGGAAATGAATATGAAAAAATTTATGAGAACTGGAAAAAAAGTTTCAATGGGAAAAAAGAAGATGTTAGTATTTTGGTATAAGATGAACGGAAGCATAAATTTGATTTACGTCATCTCATTTAAGGTTTTCCTGCAAGGATGGAAAGGCCCCGTATGTCAACAAAAGCTCTCAATCGATGGTTCTTGGCTGTATTTCTGAGCCAAAACCCAAGCCTTCGTCGCTTCAGGAAACGACCTTTGTTTGGATCTGGAAGTGAATCTTTCTCGACCACTGTGAACATGTCAAGAATGCTTTTGGAGGACGTGCAAATGACATGCAAATYAAAGAGCACCTATATTTAATAACATCCATAAGCCAACACATCTTTTATCCAGTTTTTTAAAAGAATGATAGACCGAGATGGCTCTAACATTGAACTCACTTGTTTGTATAGTTATAAGCTGTGTTCATATTTTATTTAATAGACCTAATCGGCTAACGCTTTGCTGTGAACGTTTCCACACAATTCAAACCACCCGGTAGCAAGTTTCATTGTTCGTTGTATTTTCATTTCACAGTTGAATTCTTTTGACTCAGTAGTCACACACAAAGGAATCAAGACGAGGCGCCGTGCATAAAGCTCAGTCATTCGTGAAACGACAATAGTTTTTTACAGTTATGTAAAAAGATAAATTTAACACCGTAAAAAAGTATGTGGAAAAACTTACAGTAAGTTTTTCCACATACTTTTTTACGGTGTTAAATTTATCTTTTTACATAACTGTTTCTTTAGAAACACCGACGCAGCTCACACTAGTTTACCGCTAGTTCCCACCAATAGTTTTTTACGATTGACTGAGCTTTACGCATGGCGTCTCGTGTTGATTCTTTTGTGTCTGACAACTGGAGCGAAATTCGCAAACCGGGAGGTAACGCACATAGCAACGCGTTAGCCGATTAGGTCTAATAGCACAATTCATGACTTTCAAAAGTGATGCAATATGTCACGACCGCCGACCAGAGTACTTCAACGAGGTCTCAAAGGCAAGACTCCGTTTAATAAACATAGATGGTTCCTTGCTCGAGAACTCATTAATGACATATATATTACATAACAATGTGTATTTGTGATGTATTTATTTTTTGTCTTGTCTTTTATCTTATATCGTTATTGGGGTGTATTTCTGGCAAGATGAAGCGTAACTCTGCCTTTCTCCAACAAAACTTTGCCTTTACTAGTTTGTCTTCGGAGAAACTACTATACACCCTTTTAATAAGTCCYGAGATTTTGTGTTCTCCGCACTTGACGTCAAATTTATTCTTTTGAATTCCTTTTGTATTGTAAAAATTTCAAAAGAATAAATTTGACGTCAAGTGCGGAGAACACAAAACCTCGGGACTTAAAAGGGTGTATAATGCGAGAAAATACTATTATGCGTTTCCATGGAAATATGTTGGAATTAGAGAAAAACAATGACTCCCGGAATCAAGGGACACACAAACACGTCCTTTCCTTGCATAGTTCTTCAAGAGCACTTTTCGTGAAGCCCTTTAACACATTATTATTCAAGAAATGCATGATCACGCACGGTATAAAAACAATTCAAGATGGCGTCTCGGAATTTTTCTTAAATCATTCCTGTCCGAATATGCAAATTTAGGCTTTTAAAAYCATAACTTCTCAAAATCATGCGACACGAATCTAAAGCATTATCAAACAAGACACCTAGTGAATACAGTGAAACCTAGAGCACAAAAAATTACACAGCAAAGAGAAAATTGGGGGAAAAACGGCCCTGGCTTTGTTGCGCACATATTTTTATTTTTGGCGCTATGTACTACAGCACCATAACTTTCCTCGTCGTCCGAAATTGTTGATATTTTGGACTTCCGAGCGATTCCGAGCAGCTTTTTGCTTCCAAATTTTCACTTTCTGATGGTTTCATGCCCTCTAATTGTGTTAAGTGACAAGTTGCAAGAGCATGTCACACGAAATTTTTACGAAAATTATTGCAGAAAGTAAAAGTTGGTTCTACTTTGGCACAGCAAAAAAAAAAAAAAAAAACTTTAAAAAGAAAATTGTCGTCGTGCGATGGGATATCAAACGCGAAAAACCCTTGTGCAACCTGCAAATATAGTAAAATAAATAGAGAATCGGACATAAAAATACGTTTTTGTTCCGTACTTTTCTTGTCATTCAAAACAGAAGGAAAAAAGAAAAGCCTGAGAAATCTTGATGGCAAAATTTGGATTCATTTTTGACTCCTTTTCTGATACAGTACAACTACAAAAAGAGAGAAAGCGAGCCTTTTTAAGATAAAAAGCGTTTTTTTCTCGTTTCATCTGGTCCGTACGGGAAAGTATAGCCCACTTTTTAGCCAATGAAATCGTGTGTTACATCCGAGCTATATAATAAATCTTTTTACACAACTCTTCACTGCCCACACTAGTTTACCGCTATAGTTTCCACCTTAATTTGCAGTTGATAGAATTTTTGACTCTCAGCTGAAAACTAAGCAGTAGATCCCCTGTTCATAATCAATATACACTTATTCAGTCAGGATATAATTTTCTATGAAATACTTACATGTATTACTTCTACGTCATAAAGGAATAATTATACTTAGATGCTAATTGCCTAATACATTAGTAGGAAATGTTAGACGTAATTAAGAAATGTAAAACGGCGCGCATATGTCTCTGTCCTCTTATATAAACACGGTGGGAGTTCGAAAAACAYGAGAGAAGCAARCTTAGGAACACGAGCGTTTATAGCGAGTGTTTCACTTGCTTGTCGAGTGTTTTTCAACTCCCACCGTGTTTATATCAGAAGACAGAGACASAAGCGGCCGTTTTATATTTCTTTTATAAAATTTTTCGAGCGAAAAGAAAATTTTGCCGGTAAGCCGTGTCTCTGTCCTCTGATATAAGCACGGTCGTCAGCCAATCAKAGCGCGCGTTATMTATTAAAAATTTTATAACAACCTTAATAAAAGAAAATTCTCTCGTGTTTTTCGAACTCCAACCGTGTTTATATAAGAGGACAGAGACACGYKCGCCGTTTTATATTTCTTAACTAAAATAAGGACACTACGTTGTGTTGACTTTATTTAAATAAGTTCGCACATTTCATTAGTTTTTGAAATGAGACAGTCTGTATTTGGTTTGTATGTCCTCGTTTTTGGCTGCTATTACGTTGAGAATAGTGCGCAGGGTAAGTAATTATGGTTGATAATAATTACATAGTTTCAATTCTGAGATGGTCAATTATGACAAGACCGTACAATATGTTGTTATCAACACTTAGATCTCTTGAAACTGAGAATCCACTTTGTATATGGAGCGCCTGCCCTCTACATTACCTTGGTATTTCTCTAACAATTAAACATAATAGTCAACTTTTATTTCGTTGTCTTTACCATTGTCTTCAACCTTTGCTTTTGTGCATAGTTTTGCGTCTGTGGGAAAACATTTTTTTTTTGAATACAGGAACTCAATTCGCAAGCCAAGGCGAAACGTCTGGAATAAAGTTATCGACTTTATATGCCTTAAGAAGTATTTCCCCAAAATTATATTCTCCTCATTTCTCCTCATAAAGTAATTCAGATGTCAGACAGCAAAGACAGTATATTTCTTGTCAAAAACCACATAACCGAAGCAATTCCGTTTAAAGTAAAAAAAAAAAATGATTTCAGAAAAAAACATCTGCTCCTTCGTGCTTGGTTCGGTTTGATGAACTGTAATTGAAAAAAAAACTCTCAATAACTTATAYATTGAAAAGTGGATCAACATAAATGAATTACTGGGGGGAAAATGCCTTTTAGATCATTGCAACTTTACAATTTGTCACAAAGTTTTCCCTGAACATCATGAATACATTTATATATGAACTTATCTATGCCATTTTGTCTATTGTATTTGTGGTGTAGTGTCTATTCGTATTTCCCATGACGTTCAATGTGATGCGAGTTGTATTAGTATTCATATTCCCATGACGTCTAGCAACCTATAATAGTTGTTGAGGTAAAATATGACAATGATGTAACTAAAATATAGTTAAAATATAAATACATATATATAGTTTTGTTAAAATATGGCGACCTCGGGTCATTTAATATTCAGCATCCTATTTTTTTTTTTTTTTTTTTTTGCTTAAATCGCCTTTCTTTTTACAAATAACAATTTTCCGAAACCCCGAATCCCACTGGTTCCAAAAAAGAATACTAGTCAGCAGTAGTATAATAAGGGCTAACTGTACCCCCGGGAGCGCGGTAGACAAAGAGGAGCTCTTTCTGTTAATTGTCATGCATATCTCTTGCCATGCGGAGACTAAAAATACCCTTTTTTGTAAGTACACTTTATGCCAGTACTTCGGTCAAACTTGTGCGCATGGTTGGGCCAATTGAAAGTTTTTATGGGTTTGGTACAAATAGAAGATTTATGTTTTAATTGCTGAATATTACTAGTTATGAAACAATGTTCTTTCATATGTTTTCTCAGGCATCCATATATAGTTTATCTGAATTCCTATCTGGGAAAGAGTCAAACTGAAGTCTGGGCGGACCCCCATAACATGCTATGTTGTCCCTCCGATGGGTTATTCCAACACGCTAACAACATTGTCCCACAAGAGTATAGGGCATTTCCTGTATATATGAACCGGCATCTTAATCCTTAATGTATACCTTTAACCCTATTCAGACTGGGCTTTTTTTTTGCAATCGGTGACTCGTTTTGTATCCATGGTAACAGTTATAATCTCATAATTGTGATGACGTCATTTCCTATAGTGTCTTTGTCGTCTTTGAATAATTTGACTCCAAATCTCACCATTTTTATCTACATCGTTATTTTATGGTAAAATTTACACTTTGAGAAGTTTTTGAAGTTAAACAATTTGGAACAAGCAATTTTRAGAVGAATRTCCGSCWTYTTAGGATCCGCCATCTTGGACCGCCATCTTGAATTTTCTAAAATGCCATTAAAAAACTAAGCATTGAAGCAAACAGCTCAAAATGTCTTAAAAACTAGCATTTAATGAATAAAAAAGTGAGTTTTGAAGTGTTACTGATGATTTTAATGAAATTTTCTCGCATGTGAAAAAATGACAGAAAACTACCCACCCCTCCTGCCCCCAAAGTCTTTGGTGTCGAAAAATTATTATGGTATTGTAGAGTCAGCAATGGGAGCAAGCTCAAATAGTTAAAAGATGCATAATATAACAAGAACTAAGCTTTAAAAATGAAAAATTAAGCATATTTTACATTTTTGAAAACCCATGTGTCAAAAACTGGTTGCCATGGCGACATGGATAACGTTCTAAAAAATAAAAAAATAAACAAAATCTGCCCAGACAAATTTTAGGAAAAGTCCGAAAGTTTCAAGGCTGTAGCTGTCTTGATTCGAAAGTTATTGGCTTTTTACGCGAGTGGAGTCTCAAAAGCCCCCCCCCCCAGTATGAATAGGGTTAAATAATCGTAAACTGTGAGATTTAAACTATTTTTTCATTAATTTTAAGGGTCCTCGAGAAATGTATGTATGTTGCTTTTCAAAATGGCGCAAGGAATCATAAACGAGACTATTTGAAAGTTTTATCCATTCTGCCACTGCAGGCAATCATCGGAAATTTATTTTTATTTTTTTAGGTCAATGTCCAGCATACTCGCCCAACTTTGTTGTAAAACAAGGCTTTCGTCTGTACGGACATGTTATCAACTGGTTGTATGCTGAAAATGAGGTTCTCTGTAGACTTAAATGCAATATGGTCGAAAAGTAAGGAAATCGCTTTAAAATGACGTTGTGGAACTGCATGCACTTTTTGATTGACCAAAGTACAAACTGAACCATGTCTTTGTTGTTTGGTCGTGGTTCTGGTATTTCAAGCTGTTTTTTTTAGCATAAGACATTATTTATTCCCCAGACAGACCATTTGAAGCCAAAAAAACATTATTTCAATTGGCAACTTAAAATAATTATTTTTCAAGTTGAGATTTCTTTCGGCGTTTAGAAAAAATATCCCGAGATGAAGCAAGACACGCACTTTACAAGATAGTAAACCTTCAATGAAGCCAAATTTTCCCGTACTTTCTTCGATATTTCGAATTGAAGAGAAGCATTTATTAAAATGTTTATAAATATCTAATAATTAATAAGTATATTAATTACCTTACAATTCTAAAAGGTGTTTAACCTTCAATTACGAAGCAGCAACAAAGATCTGTGAATTGAACGACGCCAACCATACCTTACATATCAACGACCTTCGACAGACTCAAGGTTTTGTCTATGTTGACTTGAAGGTTAGTAATAACGCATGCGAGGTACGATGATCATAACCACAGGCTATTGGTATAGGTTTTATTCTTTATCCCGTTTAATTAACAAATAAATAAGGCTCAGCCGTGGTTTATACTCTCATAAACCACACTTGTTTTGCCAATCAGAGCGCGCGTTAGAATTCATCTATATAATAAAGCGAATACGACCCGAACCGGACCCTATTCTTGGTGTTCAATTAACCACATAATCAAGAGTCCCCTGAGAATAAACGATAAAGCTATTGCAGTCATGTTAGATGAACGAACAAGAGAAACTAATGAGGAATGCTTTGTTATCTACAGCATATATAACTATTGTTTTTAATGAACATTACTTTGTTTTATACGTACATATAGAAACAAAAAAAATCTGATGCTGCTCCTACTACTCCTTCTGTAATTGGGCAAGGTAATTGTAAATTGAATATTAAACAGTCAATCTCAAAAAGTTTGTGGACGACTGAGATATGTACTTATACACATTTATAATTTGATTCACAAAAAGGTATTTTTATTAAAATAAGAGGTACTTCCCAACGCTTCCTCTTTTATGAGAAAGTACCACGACAATAGAAATATCATCAGCTCATCCTTGAATGGTTTTTAAGGCAGATTTTATCTTTTTGTAGCAGCTACGAAGTACATTTCAAACGTTTTAAAATATTTTGTTGAGTTGTATGCCAATGCATTTTCATATGCATTTATGTTGGTCCGTTCACAGTTATAACTAAAAAGAAATACTCCAAGACTTTTTGTGAGTTTTGATTGCCTTCAAAAATATCTATGCAAACATACTTCTGCATCTCATTAGATATCTTGCGAATCTCATGATACATTTGCATCAGTAAGTACATATCACAATTCACAACCTCCTCCAATTATTGACTGTCAGTTAATGCTATCTAGCAATCATTACCTAATCTCCTAAAGGTGATATTATTTCTTATTTTAATCTAGAAAGTCCAATTAGATCCTACCTTGGTTACTGTGTGCAGCCAAAAAGTGGTGACTGTAATCCAATCGAAAGCACAGGAGGTCACGCCCTTATCTTGAAAAGCGCCGATAAGGACTGCTCAGCGGAGTACATGAAATTTATATTGGACTCTGAGGGTATTATTCATCATAAATGCAGCGGAAAGATAGTTTGTCCAGAAGGTAGGGAAAATGCATTATCACGAAATAGTTAAAAAAGGTGTAATAATTGAGAAGGATGGCGGAAAGATTCAGTACGAAACGGGTTTAAAGCCTTTAGATGCTTCTAATCTCTTATTTCAGATAATCGTCCTTGGTATGATAAAGAGCTTCTGTTGGTGGATGAATGTCCCAAAGAGGTTTCCAGGCACAAAAGGTACTATACAAACCAAAGTGATGAACTATAAAGACCTAGTATCCTTAACACCAATTTAGACCACACAACTTTTATGTACAACCATCGTATACGTAAGTCATCATTACAACAAGGCTACAAAGTTTGTAGAGCTATTAGGCAATTGTTTTAAATCCCAAAGTCAGTTGTAGCTATGTTGTATTTATAGCTTACGAAGTTTGGATGCGCTTCGGACTTTTAAGTGACTTTTAAAATAATAACAGGAATCGCCAAAACCGCGCTTTTTACATTGCTGTCAATTTCCTTTGGAAAACTAAAAGAATGAAAAAGGCGTTATGGTCATAAAAAACTTTGACGATCAAAATTGATGATTTGAAAAACTGCTGTGTTTTTCCAGAAATCAGGCAAACGTAATATGCTCTTTGCTGCTTTTGCAGAAGCCTCCACCTTTCCATTGGATTGACTGTGGTGTGCTGAGCTGGGAGTATGTTCAATGTCCCACTCGCGAGTGAACCTTTGAAATGCGTCAGCAATGAAACTTGTTCCATTGTCAGAGAAAATTGTAGTCGGTATCCCGAACCTTTCGAAATATGCCTTAAGCTTCCATATGGTTGTGGTGGCTTTGGTCTCTTCTAGTCTGTCGATCTCCCAATAGTTGCTGTAATAGTCAACCGTTATTAGGTAGTCAGTTCCTTTGTAGGTCAGCACGTCTACGCCTACCTTCTCCCATAGTCTTTCAACAACATCATAGGCAGGAGTGGTTCTATGTGCTGTGATGCCGCCTCACATTCCCTGCATGTTTCGCAGGTGGAGATCCACTCTTTTATTTCTGCGTTGATTCCTGGCCAATACACACATTCTCGTGCTCTCCGCAAACAGCCTTCAACACCGGTGTGCGCAGCGTGAAGATCTCTCTTCATAGCATCTCGCATTTTATTCGGAATGACGAGTCTCTCACCTTTGAAGATTATGCCATTATATACACTCAGTTCATCTCGAATATGGAAGTATGGCGTCAGTTGTGGCGATATGTTTGATTTGTGTTCTGGGAATCCGTGCTGGATGGTTTCTCTAAGCAGATTTAAGGTTTCATCCTTTTCTGTCTCTTGTCTGACGTCCTTGACTTTCTGTTGTGTCATCGGGATAAATCTGATAGTGTTTACTGTTTCGAATTCTTTCTGACTCCCAGGGCTGTTTAGTGGCATGAAGGACCGACTCATCATGTCGGCAAGGTATTGCTGTGAGCCAGGAACATACTCGACCTCGATATTGTAGTTAAAACTTCGTAATAACATCCCTTGCAGTCGTCGTGGCGCCTTCTCAAGAAGTTTATTGGTGATGCTGACTAGCGGTTTCTGATCAGTGTAGACCTTTACGAATCTTCCGTATGTGAATTGATGCCACTTTTCAAGCGCAAAGATAGCGGTCAACATTTCCTTTTCTATGGTTGCATATCGAGTTTCAGCGTCGGTAAGGGCCCTGCATGCATATGCTATTGTCGCTCTACTTGAACGAGGCGTCACACTGGATTGATAGCTCCTTGCGCTGATCGTAATAGGCGAGTACAGGTGCCTGGGTTACGAGTTCCTTGATCGATTTGATCAAAAGCTTTGTCATATATCGCATCCCAATGCCATGTAACATCTTTGTGTGTCAGTTCTCGAATTAGTGTCATTACGTGAGATAGCTTTGGGAGGAATTTTGACAGATAATTCACAGCTCCATTTAAACGCTTGTTTATCAGTTGGTTTGTCCATTTTGACGATTGCTTCAATTTTCTTTGTGATGTGACTAGATGGCCCATGAACTCTATCTCCGTTGTCTTCAGCACTGCCTTTCCTTTGTTTAGTTTGATTCCTTTCTCCTGACACTGCTTAAGAAGCCTGATGAGGTTTTGATCATGGTAAGTCTCCGAGTCACAGGCATCAGTTTCTTTGCCATATAGAAGGATGTCATCCGCAATGGGTGCTGTGCAGGAAAGATCTCGGGGCTGACATTGAGACCAAATGGTAGTCTTAGCCACTTAAATCTCCCAAATGGTGTTGCAAACGTGGTCAGCAGAGAGTATGGTTCATCTAACACATAATGCCAATACCCATTCTTTAGATCGAGATTACTGAACAATTTTGCATCTGTCAAGTCATGTAGGATGTCTTCGAGTACGGGCATCTGATAGTGTTCTCTTTTTAGGACCTTATTTAGGCTTCTTGAATCAAGACATATTCGCAGTTCACCATTTTGTCGCTATAGACATCTGGTTGACCCAATAGGTAGGTTGTTCTACGAGTTCTATTACGCCAATGTTAACTAGTCTCTCTAACTCCGCTTTGACGTTGTCTATCTTCTCTAGAGGTATCCGTTTGGGAGGATATATAACTGGTTGAGCTCCTTCTTTTTTAGTGTGAGCTTGACTGTTCCTGGAAGGGATCCTATCTGGTCATCAAATAGATCTGGGAATTGATCCGTGAATTGTTTTGGAAAACTGGCATTGACCGTGTTAACACTCTCGAATTGGTTCTGCAGCCTTTCTACTCAGACGGGGTATTAGTTTCTCATCAACGACCACAAACTTCAGGCGGTACTTGTTCTCGGTGCTGGGATTTGTGACTTCGAGCTTTGTAGTCCCAAGTGTCTCTTTTCTGTCTTTGTTCCACATCTGAAGTGTAATATTGGACTAATTGATGCTGTTCCGATCTTGCTGTTTGGTATGATGTTGGCGGTTGCACCGCAGTCTACCTGCATTTTGACTTTTGTAGATTCAATAAACATTTCACGCATTATGCTATTTTGGTTTGTCTTATGTCCCACCCCATTGACCAGATGTTCTAGGGTGAATACTCGTTCAAAATCAAGTCACAGTCGTCGCTTTCTATCTCTACAGCCTTTGTTCGCTCCTTTCTTTTACAAACCATCGAGCCTCTCCAGTGTTTTTTCTCCACATACACTTAAGTTTCTTTGACTTCGCCAGTGAAGTGTTCATCAAACTTTGAGATTATTGCTGCAATGTCAGAGCGATTTTCATCGTCATTGAATTGGAACGAGTTGTGTCCATGGCGCTTTGACCTATAGTGCATAAAAACACGGCTTTTTTGTATTCCTTTGGTTGGGAAGCCAAGTTGGTGACAATTGCGTAGTTTTCCCACATCTGTTTCCATAATTGCCAAGCTTTGGCTGGGCTTTTCGAGCTTGAGATGTCTAGATGATTGGGACTCTCACATGGACTTAGTGACGGCGTGTGTGATGATGTGTCTTGTTTAGAGGTTGAAACTCCCTTATTGGTTTCCTCTGTGTCCGACATTGTGTTCGCTGAATTGTCCTTTTACCGGCTGCCACCATGTAACAAGATCCCGGAGGGGGGGACTCCCTAGCATCAAAGGGCGGGGGTCCTCGGCGTCCCTTTTAGGGTTTGAAATCGGTATTTTGGTCCCGCTTAGGGTGATAATGACGAGAATTCCCACCAATTGAGTTTTGTGGTCCCTTTTAGGGTATATGACGTCCCTAAGCCGTTATTATGAGATCAAAAACCACAGCTGCTAATCAGATGATTGATTTTATTTTAATCAATTTCACGTCTTGTCACTTAACACTCCTTAATAGACGAGATTATTGGTCCCTTTTAGGGAAGAAATTTCAGCACTGCCACGCCCATCATCTCCAAATACAGGTCCCTCTTAGGGGTGATTTTCATAATTTCCCCCGTGGACCCCCGCCCTTTGATATTAGGGAGTCCCCCCCGGGAACAAGATGTGCTTAAAGCTGGGGCATAGAATTAGTACTTTCATGATCACAGGATCACTGCTTCACAACATACATGAACCGAACGAGAACTCTGAATAAATTAATACATACGGGACCTAGTGTCACGCAATAACGTAATGTTGATATTGTTACAGACTTCTTCTTTCTTTTTTTCAAGGCTTCCATCAAAAAGTCTTCAGAATATAAACAATCGATTTTGTGTTCATCCACGTGATGGTTATCCCAAAGACAACAAACACCTTGTATATTATATACAATGCAATGCGAACAGACTCATTCTAGACTTCATTAAACTACGTAAGTCTTTGACTGTAATATAAATTTACTTGATATCCTTCATGAACCACTGAATAGAACTATGCAAAAAAGTAGACTTTCAGTTCAGGTGACAACAAATTTCTGTTTTATGCTTGTTTTAACAGCATCAGTACAGTGACAAAAAACTATTAAAGATTGACTCGCTTCAAATTGTCACAAAGGGGCATGGAGGCCTGGAGGAACCATTGACTGAAAAGAAAGACAAGTGGTTCTTATACAGATGTGTCTTTTATATCATAGCTCTTCACTGACAGTGAACCTATATAACATTAAATCGCACAAATCGTCACCAAGGACGTTAAATGAGCCAAACATTACATGCACCTGTTTCAAAAATTCGCTGGTCGACGCTCAAAGAAAGTCTCCAAAGGGATTATCGTTGCACTGTTTTGTCAAACAAAATTTCTGTTATTGAGTTCACCTTGCATGGAAATTTAGACTAAATGGAGCTATTGTTTACGGTAATTACCACAGTCTATCTTATCAGTATACAACGAATTAAAACTTGAAAATGTTGTACATGAATGTTGATAATTTATGGGGAGAGGGAGTTAAGCTGCTAGCTAAATAGGGGTGACATGAAAAGTTTTGTTCTGCTGGAGGGGGAAGGGGGGGGGGGGCTAAGACTATTATCAAAACTACAATGTACAAAGTCTATTAGAGAGAGAACAAAGCGAGCAAAAGACACACAAAACTGAAAGCTACAGTGCTTCTAGAAAATGACACATTAGGAAAGCTCACTGAGATAGATATATCAATCATCATGCCTAATTGTTCCTCAAAAGGGAAAAAAACTGACAAAGTTACAACAGTTGCAAAACAAATGTCAAGTGGCACATAGCTATGATAGGAACCTAAAGATACTTAAAGACAAAAGATGACCACTAAAGCTGAACACTGCGTTTAATGACACTGTCCATCCAAAATAATACATTTCCTTGTAATTTTCGAAGGTCCATGTCTTACACATTATTTAACCAAAAGCAACCAAACTTTGGAATCTTGTTTATTTTGTGGTGTTCTTTCCAATAATATGGTAATTTTTTAACTAAGTTATATTAATTTAGATAGCTAGTACCCAGTCTCCTGCTCGTTTATGTAAAGGTCAATTGTGATGACTTGTAACAATTCCAAAAAAGCGAGAACATTCTTCTTGGGATTGTTCTTATCGATGATACTTTCTAAAAAAACATCTCCCTTAAACAACCGAGGCATGGACGGAACAGTTCTCCTGCTCCCCCCCCCCCCCAAAAAAAAAAATTCTTTCGAGGGGATGGCCACGAGGTCTCAAACACGTTTATGCGAATAGCTTTCTTTCCATAATATCAAGATGAGGGAGTAGCATGGCACTCACAATTTAGGAAGTGAGGTTACAGTCAAAAGACATGAAGCGCGCCCCCTGAATAGTTCGTTATTCAATGCATTATTGGATTTTTCATTTTACTTTTCATTTTCAAACTTCAGGTGATTAATGCTAAATCAAATTCCGATCTCGAACTCTGATAATGGCAGAAAACAACACAGCATTTCTAGGTTTTTGAGACCGTCATTCCTTTCTCACGAGAAGGAACAGATCCAACCAAATTAACAGACAGCATATTGCAATGCATCGACTTGTGGAAAATACAAAAGACCAGCATGTTTACAAGCGAAATGCGAAGAAGGCTTTATGAAAATTTAGGTCGAATTCGACCTATGCGTCAAAAATCTATAAGTTGCCGAAGTAGTAAGCTCGAGGCCTGAAATTGAATGCCGAAGTAGTGAGCTCAGTAGAGCCCTGAAATTGCTCGTTCGAACTTACTAGTAGATATTGTCGATCTTTCAGTTGAAAGAATTTCGCAACGAGGAAACAAAAGACACAAAACATGACTCTGCTTTGAAATGAATGCCAAAATCTGAGTTTGAAGGACGGCAGAGTACACTGATTTTCATCTTAATTTGTAGCGTCAAAATATGTTCTCCTAGCAAAAAGTCCACTTGGTTTGCAAACCCCTTTGATAGAACGTCCTCACTTCGATGTTTTTATTTTGTCAAATGCACTGCAGATTTTTAAACAGCCCTCTTTTGAAGACCAAGTACAACAAACTTCTATGCACTATCGAAATGCATCATGGGAAGACGGAAAATTTGGACATAAATCGTGCAGCATTCTTCTTTTAAGAATTTTTTTAGAAGTGTGAGCTCCCCCGCACCTACAGGAAAAATATCGGGCCAATTGCATTCTTTGGTYGTCAAATATTGCCAAAATTACCTTGGTAGGTTGGAAAATTTGCCACAGATGGACCAGGAAAGCGATCCTACAATGATGTCTCCAGTTCAAAACAAACCGTGACTTGGAGCCATTGTCTTCGAAAAATCGCTTTCCACCTCTGATTTCTTCCAGAAGATTGTCTCTGCCGACTAGTCAAGCTTAATGATGCAAACGTAGGGGCTCCTGTGGCAGCAAACAGCTCAAAAAAACACTTATAAACGGGTTTTTAGGCAAATTTAGGCTCAACCGGTCGATAAACAAACGATCTGACCTAAATTTACAAAGCCCCGCATAAATTAATGCTCCCTAGAGAATGCAAATCCGAAATAGTTTTATTGACAGCACCTTATGTGGAAGTCAATTATTTTATCAAGATGTTAGGGTCGAAAAAGCTCAAAAATCAACAAATCAACATCCGTCGACAATGAGTTAATACAGCAAGAGAAATGCAATAAAGACCGAAATAATACTGTTCTTCAATTACGTTTTTATACACAAGCAGCGGGACTTTGAGATTTTTGGACTGCCTGAGTGACGTTTAGTCCCAGAACTAAACGCCAGGCAGTCAAATGTTTGAAAAATATAGACATACCAGACTTGTGGAAGTGAAATTTTCTAACCCTCCCTGTATCAGACCGTCCCCCTTCAATCAAGGGCTTTGGGTACGAGATTGGAAGAAAAACTACTGACATTCTCAGTATCTTGACATTGCCCCTTCATGTCGTTTGAGTGACTGGTGTGCGCCTCGAGGTATCTTGACATTGTACCTTTATTTCGTTTGATTGACTGATCAGTACGCTTCGAAGTAGAACGTAAAAATACAAACAACTTGAGGAAAAACAATCAAGAGAGAAGAAAAGAACATCAGACCTTCAAAATGTCTAACAAGTAAGTTAGCAGCGAAATGCTTAAATATCAGGTTCTCAATGAAGGTCAGTACCACGTTGTACAAGTGTTAGATTACAAATACTTCTACCATGGGTTTTGTCTACGTTTAAAGCTTTGCAAGTCCAAGTTAAGATAATTTTTGGTTCATTTGACAATATAAGTGCTCTCGGTTCAGTCGATTCAATCAATCAACTATCTTACACAACCAATAGTGGCAGAGATCAAATGAACAAATGAACAAGGCTGGGTCTCGCAATAAAGTATTTTACCACATAAATATGATATTTCTCGCTTTCTGATTTGTCGAGAGCCGTGGTCAATAAAAGTATATACATACCACGGTCGCTACTTTGATCGCGATTAACCTTGATACTTTTAAAGAAAAACAATGGACTTTCCCGACTTTTCTGCCATTAGGAATTTAATTTCTGACTCGTCAGACCACAGGCAACAGCAAAGCATTTGATTCAATTTTTTTTTAATAAAATACATTTTACCTTAATCTCATGTGTTGCTGATGTTATTTAACATTGCTTTGAACTTTGAATAAGTTACACMCAAATAGATTGCTCTAATACTGGGCGGGTCGGTCGCGGTTTAAAGCCTGCGTAAGTGACTTGGCACTTTTAATGATCTAATAGCAGGCAAGGCTGACTGCTTAAAGCTATTTAAGGTTGTAGACGTCACTACTTCAGAGGGAAGTAAGTTCCAGACTCTGACTGTTCTTGGAAAAAAGGAGTAGCTATGAGCTAATACAGTTGACTGCTGTTGTTGGTATGTTAAGCAATGTCTCCTAGTAGATCTTTGAGGACAAGAGCGCATAAGCGAGTCGGGAAGTTTGCAATTTATAAGACCATTATGAAACTTATAAAAGAGGACTGACTGATTAAACAAACGTCTGTGCTCTAAAGTATCCCATCCAAGCGAGCTAACTAAACCTGAAGTACTTGTTGTAAGTTTATAGTTATTGCATACAAAGCGGGCTGCGTTCTTTTGGACTTGCTCAAGACGATTTACATCTGTGTCGGTGTGAGGGTTCCACGAGGAGGATGCATATTCAAGCGTAGGTCTCACCAACATCATATAGGCTCTCTCCTTGACTTCTCTGCTGCATGACTTCAATGTTCTTCTTATTAGTCCCAGGGTCTTGTTGGCTTTAGCAGCAACTTTAGAGCAGTGCGCACCCCATCGAAGAGTTTCAGAACACCTTATGCCCAGATAGTCACATTGGGAAACCTTCGCAAGGGCCTCTGTATTAGCAGAGTATGTAGATTCGTGTGGCTTACGCTTGTTTGTGACGCGGAGTAGGTGGCATTTAGACACATTAAAGTCCATCTGCCAATCAGATGCCCATTTAGTTAGGTTGTGTAAGTCCTCCTGAAGTATTTGATGATCGTGCTGAGATTTAATGGCTCGATAAAGCACAGTGTCATCGGCAAAGAGCCGCAGTTCAGATTTCGGTACATCAACGATGTCGTTTATATAGAGTAGGAATAGGGTCGGGCCAAGTACGGAGCCTTGTGGCACACCAGAGGTGACGGGAGTAGTGCTGGAGTGAGTGCCATTTATAGCCACGAATTGAGTGCGGTTATGGAGGAACCCAGATATCCACTTTTGGGTCTTCCCATTGACTCCGTACTGACCAAGCTTGTGTAATAACTTAGTGTGACTGACCTTATCAAAGGCCTTACTAAAGTCTAGTAGAAGTGCGTCGATTTGGCCTTGCTGGTTCAAGATGTTAGCCCAGTCATGACAGGTCAGCACCAGCTGCGTTTCACAGGACATGCCTGTGCGAAATCCATGCTGTAAGGGAGACAGAATACCATTAGTAGACAAGTGTTTGTTAAGATGGCTTAGTACAATATGTT